GGATATTAATTAAAACATAAACTTAAACATTATTTAAAAAACACATAAAAAATCCACTAATATAAAGAAAAAAATAAAAAACAAAAAGTAATAAAAGTAGACACTGTTGGGCATGGTTATCCAACCATAGCACCTGGCCCACTTATACAGGCTTTTAATTTTGTTGTCCGCCCTAATTGCTTGAAACAAAACAAGATAAAATTCTAAAAAAAAGATTTTTTATCTGAGAATTTATTTTTAACCCAAAACACCCAAGAAAAATCTTAGAAATCTTGTTAAATTTATTCATGACCTTCAAAAATAGAAAAAATAGCCCAAATTTTGAAATAAACCCAAGACCCAAAATCATCATGTGCTAGATCTTTTTTTTAAAATATTTTCAAGGTAAAAAAAAACACATAATCCTAACCCCCCTTATCACGTGGAACCCTCTGACATAACAATCAATTATTTTGGTGACTGAAATCTTTCCTAGTGAAAACTTTCTTTTTCTAAACTAGAATCTAGTGATTTCCTATCTCTCCTCCACCTAAAAAGAATTGAAAAGGTAAAAATAAATTTAACACCAAAATGTATATTTATTTTAATTACAAGGATCGGTTACGAAATAACTTATAAAGATAGGGGAATAAAATAAATGTTCCAAACAAATTGTAGACCTGCCACTTATTTTACCTTTTTTTTGTCATTTCAATCCTCTATATTTCAATTCAATCATCATCTCCTAAAAAATATCAATTTTGCTCTAATTTGGGTTTTAAATGATTTAATTGTACAAAAAAAAAGTTTGAGAATTAAATTGTATTTTAAAAAAATAACTATTACAATCCATAATGAATTGTGAGACAATAAACAATAAAAAAGGCTATAGTTATTTCTCTACATACTTTAATCATTGTAAACTTGTCTTGGTGTTAATGCTTGAATATATATATATATATATATATATATATATATATATAGAAATGAGGGCTGTTAGGTCTGGTAATCCAGCCATAGCACTTGGCCCACTCATGCAAGCTTTTAATTTTATTGACTGCTTGAATTGCTTGAAACAAAAAAAAGATAAAATCCTAAATAAACAAGTGTTTTTTTTTACTCAAAAATTTATTTTTAACCCAAAAAAACCAAGAAACATCTTAGAAACCTTATTAAATTAGTTCATGACCTTAAAAAAGAAATAGCCCAAATTTTGAAATAAACTCGAGAGCAAAAATCTTCATGAGCTTAGATCTTTTTTTTAAAAAAATATTTTCAAGGTAAAAAAAAACATACATAATCTTAACCCCTTCTCCCCGGTCATATGGAACCTTCTGACATAACAATCGACTATTTTGGTGATTGAAATATTTTCTAGTGAAAACTTTCTCTTTCTAAACTAGAATCTAGTAACCCTTTATCTTCCCTCCACCTAAAAAGAACTGAAAAAATGAAAATAAAATTTAGCACCAAAATGTATATTTTTTTTAATTACAAGGACAGGTTAACAAATAACTTAAAAAGACAAGGGAATAAAATGAATGTTCCAAACAAATTATAGACCTGCCACCTATTATACCTTCTTTTGTCACTTCAATCCCCTATCTTTTATTTCCATCATCATCCCCTAAAAAATATGCAATTTAGCTCTAATTTAGGCTCAAAATGATTTAATTGTGCAAAACAAATATCAGAATTAAATTGTATTTTTTTAAAAAATAACAATTACAATCCACAATGAATTGTGAAATGATAAACAGTAAAAAAAAGCTACAATTGTTTTTTCCTATATGCTTTAATTTTTATAAACTTGCCTTGGTGTCGATGCTTGAACATATATATATATATATATATATATATATATATATATATAAGTAATAACGGCTGTTATGCTTGGTAATCCAGACACAACACCTAGCCCACTCATGCAGTCTTTTAATTTTATTAATCGCCCGATTGCTTGAAACAAAAAAAGATAAAATCCCAAAAACAGGGTTTTTTATTCAAAAACCCATTTTTAACCCAAAATACCCAAGAAACATCTTAGAAACCTTGTTAAATTAATTTATGACTTAAAAAAAAAGCCCAAAATTTGAAATAAACTTGAGCCCAAAAATCTTCATGAGCTTAGATTTTCTTCTTCTTTTTTAAATGTTTTCGAGGAAAAAAAAACATACGTGATCTTAAGCCCCCCTTTTCATATGGAATCCTCTGACATAACAATCGACTATTTTGGTAATTGAAATCTTTCATAGTGAAAACTTTATTTCTTTAAACTAGAATCTGGTGACCCCTCATCTCCCATCCACGTACAAAAAACTAAAAAACTAAAAATAAAATTTAGTACCCAAATGTTTTTTTTTTTAATTACAAGGATTGGTTACCAAATAACTTAGAAATATGGGAGACTAAAATGAATGTTTCAAACAAATTGTAGACTTGTTATCTACTTTACCTTCTTTTGAACTTCAATTCTCTATCTTTCAATTCAATCATTATCACCCAAAAAATATGCAATTTGGCTCTAATTTGGGCTTAAAATGATTTAATTATGTAAAAAAAAAAGTTGAAGGATTTAATTGAATTTTTTTTAAAAAATAATTATTACAATCCATAATGAGTTGTGAGATTATGAATACTAAAAAAGGTTACAATTCTTTCCTTACATGATTTAATTTTTGTAAATTAGCCTTGTTGTCAATGCTTGAACCTTTTTTTATTAAAAAACATATTCAGAAGTCAAAATAGGTTAAAGAAATCAGTCAAAATAGGTTAAAGAAATCAATCGTGACAAACTTGTAATTACACTAATCTTGTAATAACACTAATTAGGGTTAAGTCAGTATGAGATATCACATTAAACTCGTGACCTACATCGATAAAAAAAACATAAAGAAAATTATACAATCTTTTTTTAAAAAAAACTTGTATTAACTTTTTAGACTCATTCTCATTCAATTATATATTGAAGGATAAAATTAAAAAATAAAATAAAATTATACTAAATGCTTAGAAAAATCTAGAAATTAAAAGAATAAGGATTAAAATTAAAATGCAAAATAAATTTTATATTTGATATTGAAAAGAAAAATCAATTTAGTAAAAAAAATATAAAAGGAATCAGAAGCATAAGGGTTACAATTGAAATAAAAATAAAAATAATGTTTTAATTGAAGGGTGAAATTAAAAAAATAATAATAACTTTTACAAAAGAGCCAAAAAAATTAGAAATCATAACAATAAGGACCTCATTAATTTGAATTAAAGGATGAAATTGAAAAAAATAAAACTTTCACAAAAAGGCTAAGAAAAAAAATAGAAACCCAAATAATGAGAATCAAATTAAAGAATATAATATTTGGTAAATTGGAATTGAAGGATGATATTGAAAATAAATAAAAATTTTACAAAAAAATCAAGACAAAAAATTAGAAATAAAAAAATAAGAACTGAAGTTGAAATATTAAAAACTATAAAGATTAAGCTATAATTTTTTAGGAGGAGAGAGAGAATAAGAGGGAAAAAATGTAGAAAGGCTCATTGACGATAAACTAGACCATCACCGAAAACACACGACGCACCAACAAGAAGAGAATATGATAACACTTTCAACAATATGATGAGTTAGCTTCTTTTTATGCCAAGAGGCACCGCACACATCGCCTAAAGAGTGCAGGCACCTCTTATACGCCCCTAGGCACAACATACATGCACATTTTTCTTTTTTTTTTCTTTAGTCATATATCAAAGTGCTCCTAAGCTGACTTTATAATTATATAAATTTATTGTGAAAAGACTAAGAAGCCCCTTAACTCTAGGTTTAAAATTTTTGCTTTTGAGGTATTTTCATCGTTTTATTGTGCATTTTAATTATTTATTATTTTTCTATATTTGATGGAATACTAAATTATCTCTTAGCTAATATTAGAATAATTAAAAATGATAAAAATAAGTTAAAAAATAATTTATTAATATTTTAATTTATTTTTTCAAGTTTATTAAAAAAATAAATATAAAATTTAACAGGTGTAAAAAAGTTGAAGAATGATGAAATTGAATAAAAATATGTAATTTCATAAGTTATTTCAAAATAGTTAACAATCAAAAGAAAAAAAAATCAAAATTTATAGATAAAATTTGAAATATGATGAAATTAAAAAAATAATAATTTCATAAGTTGTTTTTAAATAAAATAAATAGTAATGAAAAAAATAAGAACCAAATCTGATAAAAACAAAAGACAAGAGAAAAAATTTAATAATAAAAAGAATAAGGATCAAAGTTGATATAAAAATCAAATTAAATCAAATTCTAATAAAAAAATTGAAAATAAACAAAATTATTCAAAAACAAATATGTAGCAATCAAAAAAATAATAATTAAATTTAATAAAACAAAAAAAATATTTTTAAATTCTTTGTAATTTGTAAAAAAATGTATTCCATTCATATTAAAATAATTATTGTAAAAACCATGTTAATTTTTTTAATTGAGTTTTTTTAATTTTTTTAATTAAATGTTTTTATTAATGTATTTTTTTAATGGAAAAAAAATAAAATAAAAATTTAAAAATGGTTTCAAGGCATGAAACAAACGGGCCATCTTGTTACTCTTTTTTCCAAGATAATTATAGTATTGATTAGAAATATTTGGAATAAGGCAAGTGTATTGTGATTATTTTTAGTTTGGTTTTTATTTAAAAAAATAAGCAAATTAAATTTAAAAAGAAAAACTAAAAACATGTTTAAATTCATTAATTTCGACTCAATCCGATTATCTCAGAATAAAAACCAAAACTCAATCGATTGTCTCACTTTTTCAAGTTATTAATATCAATTCAATTAAGTTTTTCAGTTTTAAACTTATAATATCAAATCGGTTTTTTTTAATATTATAATCAGTTTTTTTTTTTGACAGCTTAATTTTTTAATTTAATCGGTTTTCGATTTTTTCCTCACCCTAACGTGCATGTATAAAGCTTTCCACAGTGGCTCTTCTACTTCTTCTGCTGTATGCATAAAAACCTGGTTTTTTTATTCCTTAAACCGTCTGCATCGGTCTGAGAACTTCTCTACACATAAGAAGTCATCGATCTCTTAACCTCTCTGCCCTTCAATTTGATGAAGCTAGCCCTCAAGCATCACAAGGAGCTACCAATGAAATTCCTCGGAGTTGCAGTTAGATTTCCTTAACAATCATTCAGTAAGAACCCTAGTACTCTCAAGGCTAGCTGTCTAAAATTAGGGTTCAATAAAAGATAAAAGATGACTGGACGCCTTCCCCTTGATATCATCAGCCACATACTCTCAAGGCTACCTGTGAAGTCTCTTTTGCCATTCAAATCCTGCCTACGCAAATCCTGGTGCTCTCTATTTTCTGATCCACAGTTCATTAGAATGCACTTCTTTGTTTGCTACACCGAACTCAAAATATTATTTATACATGTATATAATTATAAATAATAAAGATAGCCTCAATTATGAAGATGTTAGAATTTAATTTATATAAATTTTTAGTTGAGTTTTATTAATTAGAATTTATTTATTTTATTTTATTTAATTATTATGAGATATTTTATTTAGTAGAATATAAACCCTATGGGTTGTTCTAATTAGAATTTCGGTATTTATATCCTAAATGTTAGATAATTTTAATAATTAATAAAAGTATTACAACTTTATAAATTTACAATCTCCCTTGTTCTTTTTTTGAACTTTTTTTTAATTTTTTTTAATTCTTATTATTTATTCTCCCGTATCAACTTTAATGCAGCAATAACAGGCAAATTATGTTGAACACCTGAGGCAGGGACTTTTATTCTCGCATTCCCCTCATCACCACTCAGTCTACTGTTGTAGACCATGAAGCACGTAATGATGCCATAACAGTAGAGCTTGATTATTCGTTGAAGAATAGAGGCTTTTATGATTTCACACTTTCATAGGATCTTAAGTCCATGATAATACCGAGAGTTCATAGACAATGTTCCCTCGCAAAATGCGTGTTTGATCGCTGTGTACGTGGATTTGGTTGTGATCATTCAGCTGACGATTACAAGTATGTAATAATAGTCTTCAGAATTCTTGTCCTCGTATACTCGCTAGAAACTAATACATGGAAAAGGGTTCAAGACTTTGCTGATTGCAGGCTAGCCTGTGAATCAGGGACCCTGCTGAATGGAGCTCTTCATTGGGTTACCAGTAAGCGGAAGGACTCAGATTGAGTCGTTGCTGATCGGTGTCTCTGTGTCTCTGATCTAGTGTAGGAGGAATTCAGAGATGTACCCCCTCCTCTTGCCTTCAAGAATTTCTATACATTTCAGGTATTCGGAGGACGCCTTTGTATACTACCTGGTTGTATTCTAAACAAGCATAATGATTTCTGGGCAATGAATGAAAAGATAGAATCTTGGATCAAATTTGGAATTGAGTTTCAAGACGAATGATTGTTAGCAGTAGCACTTTCCATTGTATATTTCTCAGTTTTGAAGTTCATTTTAATGCACTGCTATTTAATTTAAACTTTAAATCAGTACCATGTCCTTTGTTGAATTACCACAGCAGAAAAGGGGCATACCACTGAACTAAAAGGTATGTTTGTTCAACAAAATTGGCAGGCTCAAATGAACACTTTAAAGGAAACAAAATTACATGGAAATTCTCTGCACCAATTCTGCAGAAAGCAATCCAGATATTCTCAATCAGGTTGCACCATGTTAAATTCAATACAGTTTGGAAAAGATCTGTATGTTAAATCTACTTTCCCATGTCCCGTCTGGAGAATAAAGAACAGTTCCATTTCTAAAACATTTATGCTACATCGTTTCTCGAGAGTGACACTATACAAGAACTGTAAAGGGCTTATAGAAATAAAAAGCCATCCACCTCATGAATTTGTAAAGTACAATGAAAATGGATGGAGCACAAGCGCTTCGATTGTTTCACAGAAAACTCTTGCCTGCCACTATCAATAGGGGGGCTTACCCCAGACATTGTCGGGGGCAGCAGAAATCTAACTGCCTACATCTCAGCACCCTGGGCCACACGAAGTACATAGAGATATAACATCCAGAATAAATTATCACCTTGTATCTTCTTTGGCAACCTCATCTATGTCTATATGCATCATGTTGTTAGAACAGGAAATCTCTCTTTCCATCTCATCATAGTCAGTGCTTAATAAAATAAATAATGATGTGGTTTGTTAAACAGGGTCTGTAACTGAAACTAAAAAGAAAAAAAAGGTAAGGAAAAACTGCGAAAATCATGGAGAGAAATTGGTGATAGAATTTACACTTAAAGGACTACAGAAAGTCTCATCGATTAGTAATTTAGTATTATAACAAATGGGAATGCACAACATGTGATAAATACAGAGAAATGCCATTATTCCCACGCTATCAGTCTTCAGTGAAGTTGGCCAGAAACATGGTACAAAAAGAAAAGGTCAAGGTACAAAAATTAGCCGTGCATGTCATTGGTCCCATCCAGGGTTTACCTTTGTCGGGAAAACTTTTTAGCACCATCTCGCATAATCTCACAGGCAAGCCTGTATTTTTCAATAGATGTTGTTCCAGACTCTATGTATTTACAGGCTGTTTCCCTCAAACTCCACACCATTAAGGACTTAAGCTCTTGACAGCTAACCCCAGAGTCAACATCGCAAACAAGGCCATGCTCAGCATTTCTCGTCCACCGATGTAGGAGGTAGTGAGATGGAATTTCTCTCATGTTCAACAGGATGAAGACTCTCAAAACATGCCTACACAGCACACCTTCAAATTCAAACATTTGACAACTGCAACTTACATTGAGGTTTGATGCACTAAAAGTAACCATGTGTTTCTCACTATCATTCCCACATCTTCGCACTGAATATCTGCTGATGGTACCTTCTTCATAAATCTTTATTCCAAGATAATTATAACATTGCAAAAGTTCCTTTTGAAATATTTGGAAAACAGTGAGTGTATAAAGCCTTCTGCATTGTTCTTCTATTGGTTCTTTTGTTTGCAGAAAAGCCTGCAAATTAGAACAATTAAAATCCTCTTTTCTTTCCTCCTCACGACGTTGCTCAAGACCTTGCTCATATCGTGCTATAAACTCTACAAGTGGTGTTTCAGCATTCAAGAATATACCAAACAATGATTCCATACTTTCATTTAGGGGAATGCCAGCAAAAAAAGTACCTCGGAGGTACAATGGAACCCAGCTCTCACGCTTTTCGTACATTTCTTTGAGCCATGCATTCTCCTTCAGACCATATTTGTTGACAAGGGCATTCCACATGGTATTAAAATCAGCATTAGTCTGGCTATCATAGATGCACTTTTCATATTCATATTTGAATTCACTGGACATAGACCTTAAATTCTCTCTTTCCTTTGCCCTGATCTGCCACATTGAAAAACGATGACGAGTCCCAGGAAAAACATGGGCAATTGCTTGTTGGATTGCCATGTCTAGATCAGCTATAATTGACTTTGGACGGCACCCAGATGTTGCCCTAAGCCATGTCTGAAACAGCCAAATGAAAGACTCCTTAGACTCATTGGCAATTAGAGCACACCCAAGTAGCACTGGCTGCTTATGGTGGTTAACTCCAACAAACATTGCAAATGGCACCAGATAATTAGTCTTCCTGTATGAAGTATCAACCACAATAGCATCACCAAATTGACTAGACGCAAATCTAGATCTTCCATCAGCCCAGAAAACACTCATGCAAACACCATTATCAACTTGCACCGAATAAAAGAATCCTGTATCTTTAGCTTGCTTGCTTTGAAAATAGTCAAGCAGCAAATGGTACCATTCACTTCCAATGTTGTTACCCTGCCTAATATTCGAACGTACACCATTGTTAATCTCTGATAGATCCAAAGTGTCTAATCCACCATTTACCTCATCTATAAATTTCTTTGAAGCAGTGGAAGTTTTCGTATGAGTTCTTGTTTGCGGCTCAAGATCATGATTATGATCTTTCTGAAGACGGTCCACCATCCAAGTTCCAGAATCTTGTCTCTTAATCCTCATAAAAGCCCCACAGCCTATTCTTGAAGGATGCTGAAATCCTTCCTTAGAGCACACAAATCGCCGGGATGTAATTGACCCATCATTCTTTGATCGAAACAGCTGACCAATCCGAGTTTTAAATCCAGCTTCATCTGCATACCTTAGATAAAAATGGAATGCTTCATCAACTGAACTAAACACTAGACCAGCATATGGTTCAGCTTTTGGTTGTCCTCCATCTCCTCCTGTTTTAATGCGTTTGAAACTAATGGATCGAGAAAAGCATGGTTGTCCATCATCGACTTCTGCAAGAAACTTCAATTTTGACTTTGAAGAAACCTTGGCTGATGACTTCCTACCTTTAGGAGTTCTCTGTGGCAAAATCGGAGGACGGCTTTCCTCCATATCTCCAAGTTCATGATTGTGATCCTTGTGTATCTGATCAACAACCCATTTCCCAGAATCCCGTCTTTGCACCCTTATGAATGCAGGACAACCCGTCCTTGAATTTAGTTGAAAACCCTCCTTTGAGCACACAAACCTTCTCGAAGCAACAGAGCCATCAGTGCGCGATCGATATAGTTGGCCAGTCCTAGTTCTGAATCCTACACGCGTGGCATACACACTGTATAACTCACGCGCATCATCTGCCGAATCAAACTCTAACCCTATACACGGCTCAAGTTCAGACCCCCTTGCACCCTCTACATTAACATTGTTGTTGGCTCGTGCCATACCTAGTGGGTGTGCTCTTACAATCACTGCATTCCCATATTCTTCGCTGTAAGGATCACTACTTGAACTGCAATTACAGTAGGACCAATTACTTTTAACAATCATGCACTTTGATTAAATGGGACTAATAATACATAAATAAAGCACGAAGCTTGTGATTCAAAGACCTGTAAAATTCCTATAGTTTGTTTCTTTTCCTTGTGAAATCATTTCCCAAAAATTAAATCATAGAAACAAAGAGAAATCGACAAGTAAAGAAGTCGATCAGTCAGATTAAACTTTAAAGAATATTCAATAAAAACCCAACCCAGAGGGATTAATTACCTTCTGGTATTGTTGAAGAGACTGGGGATCGAATCGAAAACCATATCCTTCTTCTTCGTTTTTTTTGTATGTTAGGTCTGCTGTAGGGGGTCTGACTCTAAATCAAGCTTGTGGGTTTTGAAAAGCTAGATAAAGAGAGAGAAAGAGGAGGAGGTCGTCGTCTCTTCTCCATTTGCTTGTTTAGTTTATTATTATTGTCGTCGTCGTTGTTATTATATTGTTTTTGCCCTCTTCGGTTTATACGAATAATTATTTTAACTTTTTATTTTTTTAAGCTGTCAGGGCATGTAAAAGTTTATAGAGATTCATCTCCTATTGTTCTTATTACTATTGAAATCTAAAGAATATGGATTATAGTTTAATTTTTAATATTAGATAAAATAATTATTTCTAGATATATCTTTAGTAATTTTTTTTTAATGTTTGACCATCCATTCCAAAAAGTAAAAGAAAATGTTAGGGCACTAAAAATATTTAACACCTTATAATTAATATCAAATATCAATTCTATATTTTAAAAATAAAAAAATTAATTAAAAAATATTTTTTAAAAAAAAAAATCATCATTAAAAAAGTATAATAAAAATTGTGATTTAAAATATTTTTTAATAAAAAATATATTAAAATAATATATTTAAAAAAAAAAACTAGTTAATTATAAAAACATCTATAATGAAACTGCTAAATAAATAACTAAAAATAATAAAAAAATATTTTAGCTTTTCTTTATTTGTTTTTCTTATTTTAAGAGAAAAATTAAATAAAATGTTAAAATATCTTTTTTTTGTATAAATTTTATTTTTATATCTTTTTAAAGAGTTAAAACTAACAAAGTAGGGTTAATAAAAAAAATAAGCCAATTTAATCTAGCCATATAAAAAAATATCAAAAATATTAAAACAATATTTCTTTCAATTTAATAAAATTAAATTTTTATATGATTTTTTTTTATGATAAAAAAATTATATTTATATTATTTAAAATATTATTTTATCAATTTAATTTTTTAAAATAATATTTTTTTATAAGAGATATTCTAACCAAATATCAAAGAGGTCCTCGATCATATTTGAATAGACTTGGTATTTATTTAAAAGTTTTTATTTTTTAAAGTATTGTTAGTTAAAAATATATTAAAATATTATATTTTTATTTTTAATATCAATTTATTAAAATAATTTAAAAATATTAAAATAATATTTTTTTTAATAAAAATAACAAAACTATCGGTCTCTCCGCGATGCGACTTATAAAAACAAGAAGTTGGACTCGTTGGTAACAACTTGTATTCCAAAGAAACATATAGAGTTACAACCCTAAACAGTATCACCGACGTTGCCTTCCATCCATTTCCACTTTTCCTGTTATCCCATTCGCCCGTCACACTTCTCAAACCTGATAACCCGTCATTTTAGAAAACAACCACCGTCTCTCAATAAAATAAAAAGGAAAAGTCATCTTCCTCCTTTCCTCCGTCCCTCCTCGTTAAGTAAAGGAAAACAAGAGAGAAGGGAGAAGAATCAGCAGAGATGTACGGATACGCAAGCGTTAGCAACAAGGATGGGGCAAAGGAGATTGATTTGGAGGCAGGGAATGGAGAGACTTTGTACCCGGGTTTGAGTCTCGGAGAGAACCAATTACGATGGGGTTTGATTCGCAAAGTTTATGGAATCTTGGCTGCTCAGCTCGTACTCACCACCATCGTCTCTGCTGTTACGATTCTCTATACTCCTATGACTGATCTCCTCAAGGGAAGTTTCGGGTTCGTTTTGTTTCTATCAATTGCCCCCTTTATTTGTAAGTACTCAATATTCAAGATCTCTCCTTTCTTTCTTGATTTGTTTGTGGTTTTATGTTGTTTAAATCTCACGTTTTTAGGATTTCTTTTTGGGTTAAAGATTGAAACTTGATTGTGAATTTGTAATTTAAAATATAAATTTTTTTATAAATTTCTCGTGACATAGACAGTTTAAATTGAAAAAAGTTTCTTGAAACTCAAGGGGATTCACTTGTAAGAGGATTGTGAATTTGCTTGTTTCTTGAAATTTTGTTCTTTTAATGAGGGTAATTTTTCTTCCAGTGTTGTGGCCCTTGCATGTGTATCACCAGAAACACCCTGTGAATCTAATTATTCTTGGCCTCTTCACCGTTTCGCTTAGCCTCTTGGTTGGAGCAAGCTGCGCTAATATAGAAGGTCGGTATATTTATCTTATCCTGTTTGGACATTTAATAGGTTGATTGTTGGCGACTTCACGTGCAGCTTTTATAATTATGATTTGATTATTGTCTTGCATTCAAATATTTTCAGGTAAAATTGTGCTTGAGGCATTAATTCTGACCTCCGCTGTGGTTTGCTCTCTAACTGCATACACTTTCTGGGCTGCTAAGAAGGGCAAGGACTTTAGCTTCCTGGGACCAATTCTCTTCACTTCCCTCATTATCCTCATCCTGACTAGTTTTATCCAGGTCAGATGCCTCATTTTTTTCAAGTCACCCTCCCATGGATGTTTTGTCTTGTGCAACACGGAGCTATTATGTGATCACCCGGTATATAGGTCTGATTTTATGGATGTTCTGGTATTATGCAGGTGTTCTTCCCACTTGGCTCAACGTCCACTGCAGTTTATGGTGGAATTAGCGCTTTGATTTTCTGTGGATACATTGTTTATGACACTGACCACCTGATCAAGCGCTTCTCTTATGATGAGTATATTTTGGCCTCCGTTGCTCTCTACTTGGACATTTTGAACCTGTTTCTTTCCATTCTGCGGGTGCTGAGTCAGAGAAACAGTTAGTTGTACAGCATACTCTCTTCAGCCAGGGTTAGCATGCAATTATATATTTGATAATAACTGATATTCACTGTGAAATTGCGGATTTTATATGTTATTAATGTACTCTGCTAGTGCCTAAGTGGGCAGTTGCTCTTTGCAGAGTCCTTGGTGTTCTATTTTCCTAATCAACTGTAGTAAAAATATTATTCTATGTGAATTGTTTCCACTCTATGCCATTTTCTTCTACTTGGGTGGATTGCCTTTCTCAGGACTTCTTTTGCACGCCAAATCGTGGTACAGCGTGAATTGTAGGCTGCTGCTGATACTAATGGTTGTTTTGGAGTGAAAAACATTCAGTTGCTGCCAGAAACTTGTCTGTAGGAAATTTGGATGTCTCATCAAGCTAATCAGCTATAACATGAGTTGGCAGGATTTTTGTTGAATCCTCTGCCTGCTGTATCCTCCTTGTTAACAAGTTATGGATGTCATGGGATTGCTTGTTCACTCCTTAACTCAAAAGTGCACTCGCTGTTATGCATTATACGTGGACCTTCATAACCTTGGCCCTAGCCATTGGCCTCGCACTGTTATCCACTTCGCTTTTCTCAGGCGCGCATTTCCCCTATCTCGCAAGCCAAAATGCTTAAATATGCTCTCAATTGTCAAAACAGGACATGAAAAAATACAATATAAACTAGAGGACCGTAAAATTATAATTACTGAAAATTATAAAATTGTAAGTAATTTTTATTAATTAATTATAAGTTAAGAAATTAAATTATATTAAAATCTAATAAAATAAATCAATAATATGATAATTAATAAGTGATTTATAAATTAATAAAATGAATGATTTAAATAAAATGAGAGATAAATAATATAAATTAATGACATAAAAAAATAAAAAGTTTTAAAATAATTTTTTTTAATATAGAAAAATCACTGAAAAATAGAAACCACATAAATTTAATGATAATTTTGTTGTTTTCATGATAGACCTTTTTTCTAATGAGTTGTAAATTAATGAATTTAAATTAGTAATTAATTAACATGAATTTAATAATGGCATAAACTCCTAAACAATGTCTAATGTGCTAGAAAAAATTTAAATTAAAAATAATCATTTTAAAAAATAAATACATAAAATAGAATAATAAAAAAAAGTCTTCATTTTAAATTTTCTCCATGTAACATAAATCTCTAATTTTTATATATTCTTAACAGATATGAGTCATAATTTTAAACATGTTGTTCTCTTTTTATTTCAAACATATCGTTCTCTCTCGTTTTGATGAATTATTGGGCCTGCAATATATGATTGTAAAGTTTCAAATATCTAGTTTCTAGCCCAACTTTAATCTAAGAAAAATTCTAGTGGTAGCTCTAAATATGTCCCAAACAGTACACAAATGTCTCATTTAACATATTTGATAATATTAGTTTACTAACTTTGATTCTCTTAAGTATTATGTCCCTAACTCTATTTGACTTGAAAATTTATCACAATATATTTTCATGTATTTGATATTTCCCTTTAAAATTTCAACTTTATCCAATATGTAGTTTGAAAGATATGCTAAATCTCGCAAAACTAGTCAGCAAATATTTTAAAGTCAAATTTGGACTTGACCTGGTTTATATTACAACTTTAGTAAACTTGTAAAATCGGACTGAGTTTACTAATTTTGCACGAGTTAAGTCCCATTTTTTTATTTTGAGTTTTTAATCTGATTTAACACGTTAGATACATGTTGACTCGTAAAATCGTAAGATTTTAAGAGTTAACTCGCGATTTTAACAATAACGGTGCCAATCATTCTTAATGTTCTCATGCTCCCACATCATTGCCAAGTTCTTTATTTCAATAGTTAAGAAATGCAACATAAAGAAAAATAACAACATTTTTTTTTAAGTGGATGATAAGCAATTACTCTAACAAATCTTTATTCTAACCAATATATTATATTAAAAATCTACATGGTAACATGATCAAAAAATTGATGTCTTCTCTTTAGTGCAAGAGTGTCAAAATAATAAATAACCCGACGAAATCGGGGTCGAACCACAGGGAGGTAACTTGTATAAATTATAAATAACAGAAATACAACAACAACAACAATAATAGTAATAGAAATAGTAGCAGTAATAGTAGTAGAAGAAGAAGAAGAAGTTGATGAGAACTTTGAGGTGAAAGATCAATGTAAGGATTAAATAATAATAACAATAAATATCAAGGTTAGAGAATCCACTAATGGTATTTGAAACAACTATAGTATAAATTCTTATTACTCAAATAAAAATCACACCTAAAGAAGGTTCCAATCAAATTATAAATTGTTAATATGAGGACATTAGTTATCTTATTCGAATAATGCTAATAGTTATAAATGTTATTAAGTATTCATGATTATAACTTATGTTAACAACAAATCAAGTTCCTTTCATAGCACAAGTGTTGGTTATATTATACGGTTTGTGCTATGAAAGTGGTAAGTATTTGTTGTACCAAGTGTTATACAATATAATTCTAAATTAGTCATTTAACAAGCAAAGCATTAAAAAGTGAACAAGATAACAAATACAAAACATGTTAGTATCAAACATTAAAGTCCATGTTAAATTTACACTATACTTATTCGTACACCATTAGTGTAACCTTTTCACCTTGACATAATAAACTTAGTTAAATATAATGAAAGAGGAAAATGTAAATAAAAAAGATAAAAACATAAATAAGATAAAAGTTAACTAAGTAAAAAAAAAAAATTGAAAGACATAAACTTGATATTAATGAAAGCAAAGCATAAACATTAAAAAAAATACAAAGCAAAAGCATGATTTTCATCTGGAAACCAAGATGCCTAAATACATGGCAAATGCCTCTTTTTGTAGGCCAAAATTAAAAACTATTGATTTGATGACTAACTGATGAGTGGGTGGCCAAGTCTTGACTTAGTAACAATTCTTATCTTTTTTTGTCTGAATAAAACATCATTGATAATATCAGAATTTAAACCAAACCTCCACATGAAACTTCTAGAAAATTGTCTCAACTTTCTAGGAAAAACAATTGAGGTCATTTAGACTTTTAGAACTTAAGATATAGGTTGAATCCTGAACAATGTCTGGACTGTAGGACAGATTTATATTTCTTTGTTGTTGCTATAATTTGGACTTGAAAATGACTCCTCATGAAAGTTGTAGGCCTATGTATTACCTTTCCATCCATATAAACTAGACTTAAATTCGAGATCTACGGCTCCAGATATGACTCAATTATCAAACAGTGTTCCAGTTTGGGTTGTACCAACATCTCTTTTCTATGTTTGGTCATCTCTTTGTCTTTTCAATTTCAGTACTTAAACTCATCAATCAATCCTTTTATTTATATGACAGGCCTGCATTTAAGATAAATATTTATCACAAATTAAAGGTATCTTATATTATTAGATATGTTATTATAAAACATGCTTTAATTAAAAAATTATTGATACTTCAAGTGAAAAATAATGATATAAAACTTTGATAAAAATACACTTTTAAGTACTAATCATATAGCATGAGGAAAGGATACTAGTATAGGTAGGTTATAACCAATATACAAAATATTAATATCCATTGACATTATGATGGTGTTACTCACAGTTATAAACTAAGTTATCATATTCATTTACTCAACCAGAAGATATACTCATGCATATATCATTTAAGTATGTTTACAAAAATAAAGAAAACATATATGTATTATAACCTACAATATACAAAAAGTGTCATATGCTACCTCTGCTTTATGTAGGGCAAGACTATGCTGAACTTGTGTATAAAACATGATTACACATAATTAATAAAGCATGCATATGTACCTATCTTTTTTTTCATAGAATTTGTATGTATCTAAATAAGAGCATTCAAGCACACTTTATTTACTTAATGCCACTAACATCATTTAACTCTTCTATTTCAAGGTTAAGATATTAATACCACTCACATCATTTGAACATTTACCTTATACTAACTACGATATGTTTTGTTATCATTAGTCAACTTTATAAATGTACTAATCCATGTTTATTAAAGAAGTAGCAACGCCTATACATAACTCTTTTATATTCCTTTTAAGAATAATTTGCCTTTACAATTGTATTAATCCATGTTTATTAAAGGAGTATCAACACCTATACATAACTCTTTTATATTCTTTTTAAGAATAATTTGCCTCGCGATATAGCACAGGTCAAGGATCTAGTGTTCTATTATATGAAGATATGAGGTGTAGGTGGTGATGATAATTTTTTTTATAACAATTAGGCTATAACTAGTTACATATTAGTTACAACTTGTTCCCATTAAAATATATATCATCACATCATCAGCTTATATCAACATCTCTAAAAAAAGCAATTGTATTCATCTTTCTTTCTTTTCTTTTTAAGAACTCTTAATTTCTCAAAAAATCATAGCCCGCTATGATATCCCAATGCCATTAACCATTTTCATCCAATACACCAATAAAGTGCAATCCAAACCCTATCTCTTTGTCGACCAAACCCTCAATAGCCCTATCCAAACCAGACTTACTGTTGAGATGATATAATGAAATGATTATCTTGAAAAGCTATGCATTTCTTTTTTATTTATTTATTTTCCCATTGTCAAAAAAGTATCACCAATAATCATGGAAACATTGAGAAATATCAATAAAAATAAAAGATTCTTAATGATGCTTAAACTAAAACATATATGCATTATAACCTATGATATACTGTCATATGTTGTCTTCGTTCTATTTAGGGCGAGACTGTGTTGAACCTATATACAAAACATGATTACATATAATGAATAAAGCATGCACACACACCCCTATTCTTTCATGGAATTTATATGTATTGCTAATAAGAGCATTAAGCACACTTTATTAACTCGATACCATTGGCTTCATTTAACTCTTCTATTTCAAGGCTAAGATATCAACTCTTGATATCTTACAATTCAAATCACTTAAACATTTACCTTATACCGACAATGATATATCTCGTTATCATTAGTCAATTTTACAAGTGGACTAATCCATTTCATTAAAAAACACCTTTATAGGTGGTTTGTGAATTGAAATTTCTAATTTATTCCCAAACTAATTCACTGTTGAAGGGTAAATCTGAAAAAAAATCCAATTAAAGAAAAAGAAAACAACAAAAAAACATGAGTCAACTTGGTTAACCTTACAAACCTAC